TTGGCGTCATGCATGCGGTATCGGTTGTCAGTGGACACATTCTTGATTTACGACAAGGAATCACAAAATACGTTCCTGTCTTGTTCATTAGACTGCGGATTTAGACGGTCATTGCATCGGTAATTTATGGCATTTGCTATTTGACTCTTAGCTTTTATTCCGTCTTTATTTTAAGCTATTCTGAAGCTTAAAACTTTAATGTATACGAGAAATAACCTCGAGATAGAAGAAAGAGAAAGTAATTTCTTAAAATTCATTTATTTTGCGGTCGTAAGATTTAGGCTCGACCGAGGGCTTGACTCAGAGGATTAAAATGTCGTTTTCATTGTGACAGCTTTAGTGCTTTCTAATATTCCTTCGTAAATAACCCAAAAAGAAAACGTGATGATAGAGTCTACTTAACCGACAATTGTTATGCAAAACGGGCGCGGGCCCAAATCACCACCTGTTCAACGAGGAGCCTTTATCGTTCATCCTCATCAACCCACTTCGTCCTCCAGTCCGACAGAATAAAGCCAATCTTTTGTATTTGCTCTATTTTCAAGCATGATACCGGCATTACTGGCGTCGTGGCCTGGAAAGAATCGCCATCTAAAAGGTTTTAATACTGTATTTAGAATAATTGCTGCCATATTTAAGCTTTCCGTCTCAGAATAAAGACTTGAGCTACCAAAACACAGCCTGATATTTCATACGCGCGATTTAATAAATTACTACACCCTTTCTGAGCTTTGGCATAAAATACGCCACAATTATCTACACGACTATCACTTTGGTGCACAAATCCCGATGTTTACCTGACCCAAAATCGATATATCTCGGACAAAAGTCTTTAGGTCAGACCGAAGTGAACTGCAGCCCGGATTAAAGGTAATGAGGAGAAAAAGCAACAGGAAGGAAGAACTCGAACAGAAGTAAGAGGATAAAGGACATGATAAATATTTATTATTTGTATAATTGTGGTGGGCTCAGGCTGATGGATAGCGGAGTTCTTCGCGGTTCCGTCCTGATCTACATCCGATAATCCTCTTGCGGCAAACGTTTGAACCGCGTCTAAGATGTAGAGCGACACGCATCGGGTTAAGATCGAATCTTGAGACAAGGTATGATCATGCTAATGCTTTTGCTATGCTTCGGCACCGCAAGGGAGAGAGAATTAATGCGGCTCAGCGTTGTATTATGTCTAATATGCGAAAACACATTTGGCTAATTCCAGAAAGACATGTAGCTCTCCGCTCACCTTCATCAAATTAAAACTAAATATTAACCAGATCAACGCGCGGCCCGCGTTCACACATTTTCCACAAACATTATTAACGAGCCAACATCAGTTTAAAATATGCTCATGTTATTATTATTATGCAAATTAATAAAAAATAACTTAAATAAGCTTTTTTTTTATTTACGGATTTCTGTAGTATACCAAACTACTTTCAAAGAAATAAAAAGAGTCAGATTTATTCACCACACATTAACAAAAGCTTTGGAAAATCAACATAATATGAAATATTCCATGGTGAAAAGACTGAGAAAAATGAGAAAAATGCCATGTAAGGTACGATACCAGGAACATGGAAAAAATGTTAAAAATATTTGATCTATAAAAATTTCGAAGTTATAACAGTTTAAATTTTGCACTTTGACTCTATTTATTTCTGTTGGAATAACAATTTTCCAAGTTTTTTTACTACAGGCTATTAGAAGAGGAAACAAGAACGCTGTATCCTAAATTGCAACCCTGTTTTATGTTATTTGTGGCTTTTATGAACAAAATTTTTCTACCTTTACTAAATAATTATAAAAAACATAATATAAGATTATCAGTATCATTAAATAGACATAAAAAGTGTAGAATGTCAAAATTTTTTGACAAATAGAACTGTTTAAACATTTTTTTCGAATTCGAAAATGTTTTGTGTGTGTGAATAGATAAAAGACGAATAGACGAAAGACGAATAGACGAAAGACAAATAGATGAAAGACGAATAGACGAATAGACGAATAGACGAATAGACGAATAGACGAATAGACGAAAGACGAATAGACGAAAGACGAATAGA